TCTTGTTGTGATAAAGGCTTGTTTTCATCAAGGTCTCTCAGCCCACCTTGGTGCATTGGACAGGCTACAAGCAAGAGCTCTATCTTTGCCCTCCTCCTACTTGCACAAGAGCCCCAGCAATCCCTGCAGTGCTCTCCTTAACTCTTCCACTGGTGCAAGACTGACTTGTGTTCTTCTCAGTATTTTTCACTACCACTGGGAAGTGTGTTGCTGCCATGAAAGGTGAACAGGTGCTGGGACCTCCTGTGGAGGGAGGAAGACAGCTTTTGGCCAGGTGGCCAACCAGTAAGGTAGCTCTTACTGTTTTTCAAGGGACTGTTTGAAATGGCTGAGGCTTGACACCACAGATAATGCAATTTTATTTTGTACTCAGATCTGAATATCAGTTCTGAGATTGTTAGCACAGGTATCAGAAAACATGGAGAAAACAGTGAATGATGTACCATGAGTAACTGGTTTAAGTGGCTGCACCAGACTGGGGAGAAAGCAAGCAGCAGCTGCACTTCTAAATAGTGTATCTGTGTGCATGTATATATATAGAAAAGCCACAGCAACAAAGTGAAACGTGAAAATTTTACATCAGGCCATTAAAAAGGCAACAGGAGATCTACTTGTAGTAGATCTTTGTACTGGAGCATTTCAGTTTTACATTTTTAATTGCAATTACATTTTTAAGTTACAAAAGAATTTTGTTTTTCCAAAACATGTGTAAACTTCTTTAACCATCAGACTCCAATCTGATACTTTAAGAAACAATAAATATAATATTTGTGATTGTTTTGAAAATGCTGGTAACATTAAAAGGCTTGTAAACTCTGCTATGCAAGGCAAGTCATTACTGGCTGCTGGATCTGACCTGTACCACAGCTGCTTATTGACCCAAGTGCACATCCATGTTGGTATTCAAGCCAGCAACAAACACGCTGAGCAGCAGTTTCTCTTGATGGTAACCAGTGTACTGCATGATTAGTGCTTCAGGTTTTTGCTCAAAATTCTTGCAATGAATGCCCCAAATTAGTCATCTATAACCTGCCAGTGCATTGAAAAGAGAGAGGATTGCAGATGCCCTACAGCCTAGAGATAGCATGGATAAATCTAGATAAAATGACGCAAAAATAAAAACAAAGATAAACGTTCTGGTTGTTTGTCCCGGCACTGCGGTGTTTTCCCCATCCCTCTGCAGCTGAGGCAGTGGTAACTTCCAGTGTGGGGAGTAGGCAGAGCACCAATTTCTTGCACTGTCGAGAATAAAACCAAGAAAGGGAACAAAACCCCTGCACATCCATGACACAGCTGCAGATAATGAACACTGATGTAACTGTCCTCTGCACTGCTATGTGCCAGAATTCACACTCAACCTGCGTGCTACATGCTTATCTTGAACACATAATTGAGTGAGTCTACCAACCTTCAGTGGGCTCTGAGGCTGTTGGCAAAGGGTATGAGTTGAAATGATCAATATGTGAAAGCTACACTAAAGAGCGTCATTGGAAACGAGACTTTAAGCCTTGAAAGCAAGTCTAGCAGTGCAGATCTTTCCAGGAGCTGCCATCCACCCCTGCAAGTCAAGACCCTATCATCCTTCAGGCTTTACTTCATCAGAGCAGCTGAATTTTGTCTGAGAAAAACTGCAGAATGGATCCTTCAGCAGCAGAGTCTCCCTCAGCACCACTGGGTGCTTCTGTGGATGATAGTCACCAGCATCTCTCGTAAATCAGAGATATAATCCCTGGAGGAGACACTTAATGGAGGCAAAAATATAAATGGGACCAAAAGAAGTAGAAAAAAAAAAAACATGCTCAAGGCTATTTATTAAACAGAAACATATGGAAGTGGCTTCTGACTCATAAGTTCCTTAAACTTGTAACTGCTGAAAATTACAAAGTGTACCTGAGAGCACTGACTCCATACATCCATTTTTTTTTCCATTTTGCCATGCACACCCGCTGCTGGCAGCTCTTCAGGACAGGATACTGGCTTACCTGTGGTCTGACCCATTTTTCTGTCACCTCTTCTTGACTCAATCAAAAAGCATAGATCATGTCTGAGTGTCATGTCACCCCTAAATCCTCAGCCCTGTATTGTGTGATGGCTTAAGCACTCACTTCAGCTTACGTTTGAAAGCCATATCCAGACCATTTTCAGGAATCACCAGTTTGTTAACATTCCCCTACAAATGACATTATTGAATCAATGAATGTTAACTGTTTTTCACTTACGATCAAGCAAACAAAAACCTTTTCCCATTTTTCTTCTGGCTGTTACTTGCATTTCCATGGCACCTAAATACAGTAATCTTAGTAATGGATGTGTAATATATTAGTACAGTAAGAAACGTTGCTCACTATGATGAGCTAATAGCTTAATGCAATGCAAATTACAGCACAGGATGTAAGAAATATAAGCAGCAGAGAAGAGGAGAGGAGAGAAAATTGTACTGGTAAAAACATGTGCTTCCAAACTATGTTCATAATTAGGTGCTTTACATTCCTACAGGGCTTGAGGATTTTTCTTCATGTCATTGCTTTGGCCTTTATATAATTACGTGGTTGCACTTGGTTATGTGGTATAAGTAAATAACACTAATTGCTTTTCTTAGTTGAGGGTAGTGGACTGAAACCATGACTTCTGTTTATCAGCTCTGCGTAATAAAAATTGTATGAAACAAAACAAAACCATTTCGGACAGTATTGGCAGCTTTCCTCTATCTCTCTTTTGTACAAAAGGAGATCTGATAGAAAAATAACAGCAAAATCAGACTGCTGAGTCAGATACTTACAAACTTACATAACGGGGATGCATTTCCATATTTCCTCCTGTCTTTTGTATACTTGCAGCATGGAGGGAACGACTGAACCAAGTCTGCTCACAGTAGTTTAGTGCAGATGCTTCAGTGTTGCAACTGAAACATGAAAAATATCTTAATATAACATCTCCATCATGGAATAATTAAACATGACATTAAGTCAGTGAAGCAGAATCTATGTACTGCATGGAAACATGCTGGAACTTCTCTCTGAACACTCAGTAAATATAGATTTTGTCCAACAGTAAACCACTTCTTCATTTTCAGACAAATAATTATGAATACACCGGGGAAAAGCAAATTTAATTAGTACAGAAATTATCACAGCCTTTCAATGCCATTTTCTGACCATAACTCTGTATGTTCTGTGATTTCTTGGGCTGTTATTTTTTGCAATGGTGTGGTGCAAACGTCTGCTTAAATCCACAGATTTAAGCACACAAAATTAATTTGCTTCATATGGCAAGTAAACTCTTGGGTCCAAAGTAGAAACATCAGTAGGGTAACATATGTTGAGTAATTAGAAATAAAACAAGTGCCAAGAAAAGTAAGTTTAATGTCATCACAGACACGATGTTCCTCATTGTCTGCTTGAAGTCTGAAAAGATGTCTATACATCTTCAACCCTTTGGGCTGTATACCCTTGAAGTCGTAATGAATATTTTACTAGAAATTAAAACTAGGTACAACAAATACTGAAATAAAAGCACAAGTTAAGAAACAAAGAGAAAAAAAACCGAGAAGGTGGGACACATTGCAGGCAAAGTTAAATCAAATGTGTGTTTGTAGATGACTTAAATGACAGGACGAGGGGAAATGGCTTTAAACTGGAAGAGAGTAGATTTAGACTAGATGTAAGGAAGACATTCTTTATTGAGAGAGTGGTGAGACACCGGCACTGGATGCCCAGAGGCTGCGGATGCCCCTCCTGCAGGCATTCAAGGCCAGGCTGGATGGGGCTGTGAGCAGCCTGGTCAGAGGGAGGCGTCCCTGCCTATAGCAGGGGGTTGGAACGAGGTGGTCTTAAAGGTCCCTTCCAACACAAACCATTCTGTGATTCTATGATGCCTGAGGGATGCAGATTTGAGTCAGGTCGGGCAGAAAGAGAAACCAAACCTGGGCCTCTCGCTTCTTGGAGTGCCTTTACCACTAACTTCCAGGGTAGCAGAATGTTTAAATAGCAAACCATTTTCTTTCTTTTCTAGCTTACAAGCTAGAAAACAACCATTTCAGCCCCACGCCCTTTCTCCATTGATGTGCTTCCTGCAGGGCTCCACTCTGCGTTCACCTGGGCTTGGCAGCCCCAGCAGCATCATCTGCCACAGCCACAAAGCACCGTAAGCCACTTCAGCTGCCAAAGCCTTCTCCCTCCGTGAACAAAACAGACCCGTAGACAGGTGTGGGCTGTGAGACACACCTTCGCAACGCCTCCACGAGAAATAAACCCGAGCAGAAGCTGCGGCCGCTTTGTGTCACTGCACGAGGCCACAGGCAGCGCGGCAATACGTCGCTCCTGTTATAGGGGTAGTGCAAGGAACGGAGACCTCACGGACCGGCACGGGGCAGCAATCCGTGCGTTGTGAGCTCGTAGGGGAACGCTTGGTGTTACTCCTCACCTGAGGAACGAGGGGCCACGCCAGCCCGCACGGAGAGGCACGCGAGCTCTCTCTCTTTCTACAGGCAGGGGCTTGGTGCTGGGCGCAGACCATTTGCTGAGCAGGGAGCAGCCAGCGCTCCCAGTGACCTTGCAACTGGCGGGATGCCGTCCCCAGAAAAGCCGCGGTAGGAGACGCGGGATAGTAAGGGGAACCGCTCCTTCACCGCCCGCAAGGGAGACAAAGGCGGGCGCGGGCGGGAAGACGCGGCCGCGCGAGGAGAGCGCGCGGAGGGGCCGTGAGCGCGGCGCGCGCCCCCGCGACTATTGCGCCACCCGGCGCCTCGCGCTCCCCCCGCCCTCCCTTATTCCCGGGCTCTCAGACATCAAAGAGCGATGGAGAGGAGCCGCGGGGGGCGGCACCGACGAGCCTCGCCGTGAGGTGACGGGCACGCCCGCCCTCCAATCGCAGCGCGAACGGCGGCCGATGGGCGCGCTCGATAGCCAATAGCCGAGGAGTCCTCGCTCCCTCCCCGGCTCGGAGCCAATCGCGGAGCCGCTGAGCGGCGGGGAGGCACGACCCGTTCCCGGGGCGGGGAGGGGGCGTGCGGGGGGACGGAGCGCAGAGCATCTTTGGCGCTCGCTGCCGCCGGGCTCCGTACCCGTTCCTCCTCCCTGTCGCGTGTGCGCCCTCCGCCAGGAGCCGGCCCGCTCCCACCCTCCTCCCGGCGATGTCGTCTCCGTCGTCCGGGGATCGGTATGAAGAAGAGGAGGAGGAGGACGGCGCCTACGAGAGCCAGGCCAAGCGGCTGAAGCCCAGCGCGGCCGCCGAGGAAGGCGAGATCGAGTACAGCGGCGCCGAGGAGAGCGAGAGCCGGCGGGACAAGGTTCCCCCGCAGCGCGGAGGCGGCTTTTCGGGCGGGGTGAGGGCTCCTTCCCTCCGCACGGCGGCGGGGAGCGGGGCGGGGGCGGGCGGCGGAGCCCCCTCCTCGTGGCGAGGCTCCGGGCCGCAGAGCGGGGCCTCCGGGCGCGGGGCGGCCTTCTGGGCGGCTTCCCTTCGTGCCCACCCGCGGCCTGCCGGAGGCCGTAGCCCGCCGGCCCTTTCCCCTGGGCACGGAGGCGCTTCCGGGGCGGGGGGTGCGCCGCTTTGCCCCGCTCCGAGGCGGTGGGCCGCCGGCTGGGGGCCGTGCTGCTGAGCCCGGGCTGCGAGGCGGGTTGTGGTGAAGCGCGGAGCTCGCCTGCTCGGTGCCTTTTCGGCTATCTCCGGGACGAGTTTTGCGCTCGCCCTGTTGCTGAGTGTAACTATAGAAACGTGCGGCGGGGGAAGAAAGCGGGCGGAGGGTTCCTTTCGTCCGTCCGTTTGACCTTATTGTCTGGCTGCGCCGGGCTGTGAGGCTGATGGCGAGTGCCTGCCGCTCCCTTAAGTTCCCCCGTTCCTCCCGTCGCTTTCCCCCGCTGTGAGCCGGGCTGACGGACGCCTTAGTTCGGTGTGCTTGCTTTGCTGCGCTCTTTGTGTATTTGTATCAATCAAAGCAGTAAGCGAGACCCATCGATCTGGGCTAACGGCACTTCTGCGTCTAGCCTTTGATTTCTTACTCCGCCGAATTGTCTGGATGATTTGAACCGTTTATTCAGTTCTCGATGGCACTTTGTTTCCTCCCTGAAAAGCAAGATCAACGAGAGCTTGATTCCATGACATTTAGAGTAGTTCTGTGTTATGATTTGGCTGAACTACGCTGCTTAACAACGGGATGAATTAGTAACAGATGAATTAGCGCCTTTGCTGTTGCCATCTTTCCATCAGCTGAACCTCTTTCTGGACTGCAATCACCTGCTGAATGAGTAGAAAAGTTTCCTGGTGAACTGTAGTAAAGTTGCACCTTTTGGGATAACTGTTTTAAGTGTTATACCTTGTCACAAAGCATCAGCTATGGCCTTAGTAATGCATTCTTAGAGGATGCATCTGAATTAAATCCTTATGTTCGCATAAGTTATCTTGACATTTCCTCATATAGAAGAGTTGGGCATCACACACCGTGTTTCAAACAGGGACAAGATACTCCTCTTACCTTTCTAAGTTGCCAGTTTGTTATTTTTAACTTTCCTTCATTTTGGTGTTTTTTTTGTTTTTTTTTTTTTAACTTTAGTGTCTCCGTTTTTATGCTAGTTAATGCACAAGGCATACAGCCCTGCTAGGTAACAAGAGGATAAAGTATGTCTGTAACCTAACATTTTGGATTTTGGCTGTGTTTCGTCAGCAAAGAGACTGAAACAAGTGTGTAGGAGGTCTAGAAGAGAAGGATTTTAGGCAGCTTGTCGTATCAGTTGCAGTGTGCCTCAAGAGGGTGCGTGGTCACAGACTCTTGACTCTCCTAATGCTCTGTGATGGTTTGTTGGCAAAGCTGTACTGATGAGCTATCTGGGGAGGCAGTACTGGGGTACAGCCTCTGTAAATGTCGTCCTTCCAGATCTCACTCTCCCCCATAGAATGCTGCTGTAAGACCACCTCTATTCCTCACCCTGTCAACTCTCCAGTCACAGCTCTCCATGTTCCTCAGTGCTCAGATGAGACAATAGGAAGGAGCAGGGGGAGGCAGCAGTTTTCTGGGTAGTAGAGATGGTACTAGGTTCTTAAGAGCAAACTGTAACATTAAGAGAATATGTGAAAAATGAACAACTGAGTGCTTTTGTCTGGAGTTTGTAAGAGCAAAATGCCAGTATCCATTCGTTAAAGTTAGTTCACGTGGACGTTAGGTTTTTTTTTTTTCTTTAATTGGTTTTAAAAAAAGAAAATGTGCAGGAAATGGATTATTTTTTTCCCCTAAGACATACCACCTTCATTTTGTTCCTGGGTAAACGTTCCTAGCACATAAAAGTTAGTTTCGGTTCAAGGTGAAGACGTACAAGATACGAGTAGGCTGAGGGAGTAAGTGCAGGTATGCTGGATTGCTCAGAAAGAAGCAGAAAAAGAATATGTAAAGTGAAGGACAAAGATCAATACGGAATGGGGAATTAAGAGGGAGAAATGGGAAAATGGATAACTGGAGAAGGGAGAGTGGTTGGAGTCTGTTAGCCTCATGCTTTTCCTCTCTTACAGTGTCCTAAAATAATGGTGAATTGTCATCAGTTACATACAGGTTGTGAGATAAAACCTGTTTCATAGTGGGACCTTTTAGTTATCCCCTTGGCATGATCTCCCTGCTGGGCTGTTTATTGTTATAGTTGTGATGTTTTCGTTCCTCTGGGATTGCCTTGTGAGTTGCGTAGTCCCTTACTGCCTCTAAGTTCTGTGTTTCTGCAAATGGATGCCTTGAAGTCTTTCCTGATACGCAGGTTACAGATGGGTAAGAATATATCTATATATTTGTTTTTCCTTTGCCTCTGTTCCCCACCAGTAATGATACTGCACAGAGTCAGGGGGGTGTGTTCCTTCCTATTGTCTCATCTGAGTGCTGAGGAGCATGGAGAGCTGTGACTGGAGAGTTGACAGGGAGAGGAATAGAGGTGGTCTTACAGCAGCATTCTATGGGGGAGAGTGAGATCTGGTGCTGTGTGGTGGGGAGACCTGGGCAGAGGAGTCAGAACTGGGTTATAGCAGAGTCAGGACACAGGGAGAAAGCGGGGTGGGAATTAAGAGCTGTGTTGGAGGGTGGTTGGAGGGCCTCTCAGCTCTCTCCCTCATGTAAATTTCTTCCATTGGTTAGTGTTGTATTTAATTTTTTTTTTTTTTTTTCTGGTAGCATTCATTTGCCTCGCTGTATCTTACATGCTTTATAGAAATATTGAAGAATAGGTAAGGATGATTGTTATGTTTGGGGAAGTGGGATGTGGTGTCAAAATACACAAACATAAAACCAGGTTCCTGCAAGGTTAGCTAGGAGTGTGAACATGCAGCATCTGAGCTGCTCTGCTATAAGTTCGGGTGTGCAATGTTCTTGCTTTGCAGTGTAAGTGGGCAGCAAAGCACCTCAGGAGTAAACTGCTTCATATATGTCATAGGCAGTAGCAGTGGCTAGATGGAGATGAGTTCAGAGCCTAGAAGTCTATTATGGAGCAATCTGAGTGTAAATCGTCCTTCTTCCTTTGTTCTCCATCACAAAGGCGACTAAAGCTAGTTCCTCTTCCAGCACCTCAGGTATTTGTTCCTCATAATTGTCTCCTCATAATGCTCCGTATTTGTTTTGTTTTAGGTTTTAAGAGATGTATTTGGATTGCCCTGAGCACAGGGGAAAATAAAGAATCATAGAGTTGTTGTTGAAGACCGTGCAGGAAATGCTGCATATACTTCAGAAAGCCTTTTCTCTATCACGCCACCTCCAATGGGCAGAGCTGAAATTACTGGGGAATGTGTTGTGTACCTTCACTTTCCCTTTACGCCATGGTAGCTGTGCAGCTGCGTTCGTAGTTAGGCATTGACAATGTTTTAGGCACTTACGTACAGAATAAGCCACCTTTTGGGGCTCTTCCAATTGCAGTTTTAAATATAACAACTATTTCAGAGCATGTGAGAGAAGGATGCAGTGAGGAAGAAGTTGTAAGTGCGTGTGATGTTCTGAATGATGAGAAATGAAATAGCAAGGTGTATAGGTATCTAGGGGAGAGAATGTGAAGGAGAATAGCATCCTTCTGCAGTAAAGAGAAAGAGAGATGGAAGCAGAGGAATAGTAAAGAAGCAGATGGTCCAAAAAGAGGTAATATGAGCTCTGGTGAATATATTGACTGGAAAGGTGTCTGGAGAAAGGATGCAGAACAGGTGTCTGTGCAAACAGTGCAAAGTTCTCTGATCTAGAATTAGTGAACAGAAGAGGCTTCATACAGCTAGAACCCTTCCTGACTTTCTTCCTTTCTGGAATAACAGAATCAAAATTTATTAGCAAGACGCCAGTGATATATTTGAAATGTTGCCTAGGAATATGTAGGTCAGTAAAGAAAAGATATATTAAAATGCTGCAGTTGTTCTTCAGAGCTTCCATTACAGTCACGTGTATATGAAATAACCAAGCACATGAGGCATGATGCAGTTATTCTAGGGCTTCCTTCTCTCTCTGGAAACACAGTTTCAATGTTACCTGTTATGTTGATAGTCTTTTTTTTTCCAGGAATCCTTTTCTGTTCTTGTTACTGGTCTTGAGCACTTAGAAGAAGTCTGTTTCCATTACCTATTTAAGTACTACTTTTTCTGCCCAGCTAATGATTCTTTAAGAAACCATTACTGAGCTTTGAGAAGACACCCTGGGCAATATATATTTAGCAGGCACAGCAGTAACATGAGCTGGTGTGTTTCCTGGCTCTGTTGGAGGGCATCATGCAGGGGTTAGGCATGGGGTTCCTGTGCCATTGGAAGAAGTAAGCAGGGGAGCACTGGTGTTGGCTCATCTGTGTTCATGCTCTGTAACCACTCTCTGTGCCAGCTGTAGCATATATAGACTTCTCAGGATAGGGCGACTGTGAGACCTTAGTCAAAGTGCTGTGTTTCTTGTTTGTGGAAAGGAAAGGTGGCAAGCAGTGGGATGAGTTCTTACTTTGGCTGTGAAGGTGCTTTACAGTGATGGATGTATTTGCGTTTTCATTTAGACTACTGACTTTATTTTTTCCTTTTAGGGGAAATCCAGGATTGTTCTAGATTTGCAACTTGGTAGCTACAAAACTTGTTTGATGATCATATGCATGTCTGCCCTCGTGAATGCTTTTTTGCACTCGAACATATGCCAGTAGCACATGTTGGTGTCTTTCAGCAATATGCTGTGTGAATGTCAGTTTGTGACTTCCTGGCTTCAGGCTGACTTGTGCTTCATTCCTGCACCGCTGTTTGCTGCTTCTGGTCGGAGGCTATTCTGAGGAAAGCAGACTCCCACCGCTTTAGCCCTGTGTACCTTCACTGCTTTTGTCTAAACACTGTGATGAGGCAGTCACACAGAAATGCTATGCAGACAAGCCCTCAGCTTCATGGCAAGTGACTGAGATTTTACTACTTTTTTTTTTTTTATTTTTAATAAAGCTTCATCCTTCTCAAGCTTTTGTGTTAAGTTTCTACAATAGCGGCAGTGTTATGACTTATTCTTGCTTATTCTCCTACTGTACTTCATCCTAATAAATAATGCTTTCCATATAGCATTATGAGTGAAGGAGATTTTGCTTAGAATGCTAAATATCTTAACTATAAAAGGAAACAGCGATTGCATTTGCTGAAGGTTCTGAGAATCATTCCAGTTGCAGTAACGTGGACACTCCTGTATGTGCATGTAACTGATGTATAATGGATTCAGAAATGCAAGCGTAAAAGTAAATGTTTGTAATACTGTTAGAAAGCTTTGTATCATGATTAGGCAAGCTTCAATGCAAATACAAAGGAAAATGCTTGACAAGAAATGTGAACTGGAGCAGGAATTGAACTGGAAAGAGGACAGAGACATAACATACCATTAGGATGCATACTCTGAAGAACTTGGCTTGTCTGGGGGTGCTCATTCACTAAGGTAGCTCTTTCTAGTGAGCCTTTGTTTCAGTGAGAAAACCATTGCCTATGTTTACCATCTGATATGCAGTGAAATATTCTTAGGTACAATTTCTTGAATGTTAAAAGGAGAAGGAAAAAAAAAGAAGGAATGCATATTCATAGCGTTAACAGGGATCTTAATACAGTAACAAGTATGTGGGGCAATGAATAATTGATTTAATAACTTCTAAATAAAGTAAAGCTACTTGCTGTCTGAACATCTTAGAGCACTAGACTTTGCAGAAAAAAATGGTAATTACTGTTTTCTCCTGAAGGGCTCTTCAGGTGCTTCTTTCAGCTTTGAAATTTATGCATGGGTAAAGAAGAGAGAAGTTCAGAATAAAAGTGTGTGTGGAGCTTTGTTCCTTCAGCGATTCTCTGAGTACCTGCAGTTCAGAGTTTTAACCTTTCTTAATAATTTGATCACTGCTACCGGAGCTGGGGTGGTTAATTCAGGATTACATTATAACGACCACTCCTTGCATTTACTCACAGTTGCCACAGTTCTTATTCAAAGAAGTATGTTGCAAGTGAAAATGCTTTCATGGTGCAAATGACTCGGACATAAATGAAGATTTAAAAAATAGTGCAGCAGCTTGTTCTGAACGCTGACAACATCCCATGGCCTGCTTTATGGTTCACATGCTCAAAGGAAGGAGAAAATATGAGGAGAGCTGTGTATGGAACCCAGGAGTTAGATACAGGAGACTCAATTTGTAGTTACCTGGGAAAAGCTATTTCCTTTCCTTCTGTAGTTTAAAAAGATAGGGAAAGGAAGAATGTGTGTAGCATGCTCTCAGCAGAGCTGAAAGCTCCTTTGTACTGCAGATGAGAATCTCCCTCGGCTTCCAGAAGGTGCTGTGCTTCTTACTACATAGAAGTGAAAATTCAACAAGACTTGTTAGATCAAACAAACACACAGACGTAGTGAATTCGTAAACAAGAACTTGACATTGCTGTTACCTGTACTAAATCTGCATGTTACTAAGTACAGTGTGTTTCATGCGTCTTTATTATGTCTAGTCTTCCTTAGTGTATCTCTGTCATTATTGACTAATACTATTTCATCAATTTTTTTTTTCTCTTGGCTTAAAATAAACAAGGTGCGTTTCAGCCCTACTTCAGGCTTCACGCAGAAGGATGGAGCTGATCCCTGCCTGTCTAAATGGTTCAGTTGCACAGAACTCACTGCAGCTCTACTAGCTCACTGAGAAACATTTACTGTGGCAATTCTGTGTGCCTGCGTACAAGGGCTGAAACCAGTTGATGAAAATCAGCCTTGGGGTGAAAAGAAAGAGCGTGACCACCTGTACTGAAATAGAATCTTTTAAAAATATACATCAAGAGCACTCGGAATTGCAAGGGATTGCTGGTTTGTTTCCAGTATTGGACTGAGCCGGCATTTGCTTGCACTGGAGGACACAGCTCTGCACATGTTTGGAAAGTAACCAGTCTTGATTGAGTTTACTGATGGCCCTTGTTTGTCGCTGCTTTTTTGCTTTACTTCTTCAGGAAACAAGACTTGTCTCAGATGTCATAAGCAAACAGGAAGCATGTAAAAAATATTTTAGGTGTTGTGCGTGTTGAAATATTTTCTGTTTGGAACAAGTAGGGTGGAAGACCTCCTTTAATCAAGTAAATTTTTTAGAATACACTTCATTTTATACTAGAAAAATCTTGCCTGTGTGTACGTGTTAACAAAGTCTGCAAATTATTTGAAGTAGGCTTCAGCAGTTGAACTCTGCAGTCTGTTTGGAAAGAAAAGTGGAATTGTTTAAAATGTACTTTGTACATTTAAATGGCTGCTTCTGGACCCAGTGTAGTGTCTGCCCAATAAGTTTAGCTAACAATATTGATGTTCCTTGTTCTGTACTGAATACTAAATGTTGTTTTGTTGTTGTTAGGATGCAGGGGGAAGTCATCACAAAGTCTCTGTTTCTCCTGTCGTCCATGTCCGAGGGCTGTGTGAATCAGTTGTGGAAGCAGATCTTGTGGAAGCTCTGGAAAAGTTTGGAACCATATGGTACGTCAAACATTCTGAAGCCACATCCCTCAACAAGTTGGAAGCATTATCTAAAAGTCACTCAGATCTCTTTAAATATATTGTGATAGCCACTTCAAGTCTTGGATTTAGTTACTAGCAAAGCAAACAACTTTCTAGCTGTGTGAAGATTCTCCTTTTGTACATGTAAGAAGTCTGGTTAAGCAGTTACCTTTTCTGTGTACCCTAGTACCTACTGTCAGACTGCTAGTTTTAGCCTGAAGTGTGAACTGTAACAAAACTGAACTTCAGAACAGAATGAGCCTTTTTCCACTGGTTTTATATGGGAGAAGTGCTTATGACATGAGATGGTTATTCAGAGGGAACCTCTTCTGTGTCAAAGCAGCTGTAAGCAGAATAGTAGAGGTAAATTGGTAGAGCCAGTTTATTCTGAGTGCTTCATTTTAGAAAAATGCATTTCTTTTCAGTGATATGCTAGTATTGAAGTTTTGGAGATAGTACAGTGGTATTTTTCATTCTCTAAATATTCATTAATGCAAGTGCTCTTCAGTTAGATGTCTTAAAATAAATAAAATGAGGTGCCAAAAGCTTGTTTAGGTGTACAGGTAAGTACATTTTAGCCTGAGAAGTTACCTTTTCCAAAAAAGAAATTTGCTGAAAAAAAAAGTTTGGTTAACTAGAATGCTTCTGTTTATTTCTTCCAAGGTAGTTTTGTGTCAGGAAAAGAATAAGCTTTTAAATTTCTTGGTTTAGTGTACAGAGTTTAAATGTTTTCTGTAAATTGCATTTACTTTAATCCTTTACGTCATAAACAACTTAATGAGCTTTTTTAAAACTTGAAGTTGTAATCCTAGTAAATAATTCCCTAATTATTGTGTTGGTTAAATGTTCTTGTCTATTATACATTTTCAAGACATTTTCAACTGCTCATTACTTACTTTTCTAACAAATGCATTTCTTTGCTTCAAGTGAGTGCTTTAGAAACACGTGACCGGGCTTGGGAAGTGCAAGAGGGAAGACCTGGCTTCCTTGTATGTCCTTGTTTGGACTTGTGTAGAAAAGCAGAACGTATCATATATGACTGCTACTGAATTTCAGAGTAAGCATGTGGGAGAGTTTACAGTATTATTTCTCTCCCCAGTTATGTCATGATGATGCCGTTTAAACGTCAGGCTCTGGTAGAGTTTGAAAAAGTAGAAAGTGCCAAGAAGTGTGTGACATTTGCAGCAGATGAACCTGTGTACATTGCGGGGCAGCAAGCTTTTTTCAACTACTCGACTAGTAAAAGGATTACTCGGCCGGGGAACACCGACGACCCATCTGGTGGAAATAAAGTTCTCCTGTTGTCAATCCAGAATCCTCTCTACCCAATTACAGTGGTATGTTTCTCTTAATTTAATAATGCAACGCTTGGAAATGACAGTCTTTATTACATCATTTCCATTGTGTGCTATGAGGGCTGCTCCAAAAGTAATGCCTCTTATTTTATGACGTTGACTGACGGTGTCAGAAGCAGATGTTGGTGATATAGCAGTAGAGGCTGAACCTTCTTGCCAATATGCCATTACATTTTGTTGCTGTGGAACAGATGGCAGCAGAGGTGCAGTGTGATAAAATGGCGTATGGCATGGAAGTACAAATGGACCACAGGTGTAGAATTCCACCATGCTAAGGAAATTTATTGGCATTAATCAACACTTGTTAAATGTTTATGGAGACCAGACAGTGGATATAAGCACAGTGAGGTAGTGAGTGGTATATTTCAGTAGAAGCGACAGTAATCATGGGTCACTTCCGCTGGCATGCGTTTCTGAGTGCAGCATGCAGGCTCTTATTCATCACTGCATAAATGCACAGCTAATGGTGACTGTGTTGAAAAATAACGTTTTGTAGCTGAGAACTCGCTCTATCAAATAGTGTTACTCTATTCTTCTTATCTGTTGTCGTATCTGTTTCAGTAAATAGGAGGGATTACTTTTGGAGCAACCTATGTACTTGTTTAAATTCTATACTGTTAATCTTGAGTCAAGAATTAGTCATCTACCAAACCTTTATATCATCTTCACATAAGTATCATTCAGGTTCTGGAAAAAAATGTTTGTTAGTTTTTTTTTTCCCTATTGTTTTTAAGATGACTCAGTCCTGTTGTGCAGATATTTTGCAATACATTTAAAAACTTCAGTGGTCAAGATTTTGTAATGTTGCCACATACTTGAAAAATATTTCCGAATATGTTGCCATAACATCAGGAATGTTGTTATCTTTTAGGCCCTGATGGGGGGTATGTTTAAATAGCAAGTCATTTTTTCCAGTAAGAAAGGGTTATTTTATTGCAGCCATTCATTCTTAAGTATTTTCTTTGCAGAAAGCTGAAACCTTGATCTGTTGATGATCAGCTCCACTTTGGTGGAATCTTCCTCGCTTTTTATTTGGGCTGATGCATTTTATTTTCAGTATCTCTGGTCATACTATTTATATACAGTTCATTTTTTGTTTAACAATACTGTAATTAAGAACACAGAATATCTTTTCCATTGAATGTCTGCTTATATTTTTTCATAAAGACTTACAGCCTATGTTAAATTACACAGGAATATTTTGGGGGAGAAGGGGAGGCATGTCTCCTTAAGGCAGACTTGTTAAACTGTGGCATATAAGTTACTTAATCTTGGAGAAACATGTAGATATTGGATAGTAGAGATCAGTCCAAGCATCTGGCTTGTGTGGAACCATGTAACTTCAGTATTAAATTCTGTTTTATGACCGTATATTATGTTAGCAAATTGAGTGAAGCTTAACAATTCTGGAATTACTTAATCACAAACAATTGGTTCCATATCATGCTTTCTGCTTTGTTGTGTTGTGAATGTAGATAGGTTTTTGCCTACTGATTCATTTGTGGATGATGAATGTGCTTTCTTCTCAATGTTTTCTTTATAGAAAAGCATGGCAACGTATGACTTTATAATCAGGTTTAAAAATAGACCTGCCTTGATCTGTGTGAACCAATTAATTGACTGAGCTGAATAGTTCTTTGCATGTAAATGTAATACAGATTTTTGGAAGCTGTTTCATTAAAGCATTTTCAACTTAGATTGCAAAAGCAACTGAGATGAATGCAGATGCTTGAATAAACAGAAGCACCATTCTTGGCTAGGAGTATTTGAAAATTCTGAATGTGAAACCTCTGGCATAGCAGCATCTTGGAAAGCAAAACCAAAACCCACCTTCTTTTCCTTTCTGCTGCCCCTTCACTGTCTAGTGTATACTGACGAGTTCTAGAAGAAAACATATTTCCAAAACTACTTAAAAAGCACCAGAGCTCATCAGAGATGGTACAGGCCAATTAATTGAGTCTGTAGCAACTGGGAAGAGCACTTGTGTAGTCCTAGAATGGTTTGGGTTGGAAGGGACCTTAAAGATCATCTGGATCCAACCCTATGAGAGTGGTTTGCTGTGGTAGCTGCAATGTTTTAAACGACTATCAATTTCATTTGATATTAGGTTGCTACAACTCTTAGGTATTCTAATGTACATGTAATGTGTTAAGTCATATGGTTAATTTGGTAATCTGAAGTAGGTGAATTAATTTTAAAAAACAAAATGAATTTAAAGCTCTGTGTGTGCCTGTTGACTGACTGCACTAATGATGCTTTGAGTAGAGCTTGAATATTGAAAGAACTTTAGGAATAGTTCTAATGATAATAGGAAATTATTTGGATGATGAATTATGAAAGAAAGTCGTATGCCCTAAAACTGATGTCATCTGAAGCTGGGAAGTCAACATGACACTTCTCTTTCAATCCAGAAGAGTTGAAGGATAAAAATATGTGCTATTTAGTATACCTACAAAATGTGCCTATGGTGTAGTCTGCTAAATTTTTTTTAAGGTTGTTTTAATCTCTTCTAAAAATGTGTGTTCATCTTCTGAAAAACTTTGGGTTGACAATCTCCACTGCTTGCTTCATTTAGCTGTGTAAAACACAGGAGTGCCTGGTGTAAGCCCCTGAGTGCTCTGAATTCTTTTTTTAGTGGTAGTACACACATGTATTAAGGGTTATGGTGCTTGATATACACCAAGAGTTGCACCACTGCAGCTGTGCATCCTTTCTGTTTTTTTTTTTTTTGTTCTTTCATTTGTGTGCTTTGTTTTAAGAAATCCAGCATAGCTTCTTGCTTTGCCTCTTAACTTCTATACTGTTCTACTGAAGATAATAAATACTTACCCCGAGGATGTGCACTAAATTCTTGGAATGACTGTTTTGGAATTATTTGGTTTGGATATACAGAAAGGAAGGAGAAAAACAAATGGTGATAGTGTTCCACTGAGGTGTCTGTGCCATTGTGTGCTAGCATTAACTACCAACTGGCTGTCTAGTAAACCTTAGGTTTACTCTCAACTGTTTGAACGTTGTCTAACAGGTATATTGTTTAAAGAATCACTATTCCTGTTTGTTCAGATTCTCAAGACCTGTTCTTTGGATTTCTAAGTGGGGATGTACAGTCACCATATCAAATAAATGCATTTTTCTTCGTTAAATTCAAGCTTCAGCCTAGTTTCTGGCACCATTATGTCTGAATTCTGTGTAATGTGCAGTTGTTTGAGGTGCTGTGCATCAGACCAAGCCAATATTACGATACTTTGAGAATAAGGCAAGATTTCCCCTGGTGTTTCATTCCCATGCTGCAGGGAGACTGGTCTTGAATTTTACTGGTTCTTTGCAATAGTGAAATGCTGGTGAAAACATTGCTCTGACAGCAAGCTTCTGCGAGCCCAGGATTTCCTCTTTAACTTTTCTGTGCTTTAAGTGGGGAAACACAGCATCTACTTACACTGTCTTTGACTCAGGTGCACATAATTGAATTTCTCATTTTGATAAGCTACCTAACCTTGCATTGTGGACTTCTCTAGGTTATTTTTCTGAAGATAACTGTGAATGATTACAAAGCACCAACAAAATCGAAACCTCAGCTGTAATGGTTTTGTGAAATGAACTGTACTGTAACTACAGCATCATCATGTCTTTTTGCTTTGGTGAAGCTACTACAGTGCATGATTAAAGGCAGCACAGTCTTGAAGCATGCATGCTGTTACTGAGTTTTAACACTCTTTGCAGATACTTCTTTGTATGAGTAATTCTTGTATAAGTTTTTTCCTGTTGTTAATATTTGACTGCCTATGCTATGCTATCCTTCAAAATGCTAAATGTAAAAGTAGAAATTGTATAGAGAAAATTGGAACTTAAAAGTTAACAAGCATTTAAAAGCTAATAGAAGATAATGTAAAACTAAGTTGTTTGAATTTTTGCTCATTTAAAGCAATTTTTTCTTCTTTCTTAGGATGTCTTGTATACTGTGTGCAACCCTGTTGGCAAAGTTCAGCGCATTGTTATATTCAAGAGGAATGGAATACAAGCTATGGTTGAATATCCTTTTTAGACTGTGATTTTTTTTTTTTTTTTCTGTAGGTTTTCAACTCCAGATCAGATTTCAGAATGTCAGAAAAATACCATTTAATTTTGAGGCCAAAAATCTCTCAGAAATTACAGTGTTTTTGGATATAAATTTTAGATGTTTTAAGGGAAAATATCACTTATACATGTAATCTTTGGAGGGAAGTGATGCTGTCAACAATGATGTTGATAACCATGTTTATAAGTGACCTTAAGGCTAATAATTCTTGGCATAAAATATGCCTCGAATTTGGCAATACACTGGGCAAAAAAATGTGATTTCTAGCTGTATGGACACTCAAGAAACTGGTAAGGGATTGCAGAGGTGCAGTTTAACTTCTTCAAACTCTTTTAAAATAGTTCTCATATACTGTTTGACTTTTTGTTCTGACTTTAATAAAATCTGAGACCAACTTGAGGCCTCATGGAGGAAATACCCTGCTCTGTTATCCTTCTGTTTATTGTATTTGTAGCATTAAGTTGTACATTGTACGAGTATTGTTAATGTGTTACTGTTGTTTGTGGAGTCCAAAGTCTGATTTGATTAAGCCTTAGTTCATAAAACTCGAATAGACCTATTCCTAGAGGTGATTACCTTCCATTTATGAAGATGGTATTCAAAGAAAATTGTTCTGAAATCTCAAGTGCTCTTGTGATTTTTGCATACTATCCATGTGACAGGCTTTATGAGTGGATTATTTCTGTAACATGTCAATGATTTAACTAGTGGCTGTGCTGCTGATTTGCCAGGCAAAAAGAGTTGCCTAAAAGTCCATGAAAGCAAGCTAACTGCTGTTTATCTGACTTAAACTGTGCATCTTAACAGATGCACACAGTTCCTGTGGTAGCATAGTAAGTTGTGGCAAACAGCGTTTAAATTTGTTTAAATGATATGTTTGTATAGTCAGGGATTATTCTGTGTCATATGAAAGATTAGGGTAATTGTGGGGAGGACCCTGCACGTGCTCTGAAACTGCCATGTTTCTGTCCTTTGAATTAAATTATACAACGTGGCTTTTATTTAAAAAGCAGACAAAAACCCACCATACAACCAGCAATTAAAAGAAAGCTTATAAATGTAAGCAAAGTATTGCATCAGTATAAGTGAACAGTTGCTAGGAGAAGCTTTACAAGAAGACTTGTCTGAAAGTTTCCAAAATTTACTCAAATTTCACCACTATGTCGGTTGCTCCTAAAGTAATTCCTCCTATTTATTGCCCTGGAAATGACAACAGATATAAAGAGCACAGCGACACTATTTGATAGAGCAATTTCTCAATTATGGAACACTGTTCTTAGTCACCACCATTAGCTGTATGTTTTTGCCAGCGAAGAACAAGAGCTTGCATGCCATGCCTGTAAAAATCTGCACCAGTGGAGGTGACCCACTGTCATCTGGTGCTGCTGCTGAAGTGCACCACCTATTGCCTCTCTGTGCTCATATCCACTGTTTGGTCTTTGTAAACGTTCAGCAAGCACTGATGAATGTCAGTGGTGCAAGTTTCTCCATATGGAGGAATTCACTTGAGTCCCTTTGCTCCTTATGCACTTCCTCATCAGATGCTGTTCTGTCAGATTGCTGCTCTGCTGCCATCTGTTGCACTGCAAGAAAATGTAATGGAATATGGGTGATAAAGTTGAATATCTACTGCCACAATACCACCATCAACCTCTGATGTTGTGGGCAAACATAACAAAACCAGAGGCATTACTTTTGGAGCAGTTCCCATAGTTGCATTACACATCACTCCTGGAGATGTGCTCCTACAGTTCTAGCCAGCCTCTGACAACTTCCTAGAGGTGTGAGAAGCTTAACTTTTCTTGCTCTAATCTTTGGCAGTCTCAAGTCAGTTAAAAAAATTTTGCTGTGAACCAGTATTACAGTGGAGGAAGTTGGGTTGCATGGATATGGTAAAACACAATATTGTTTTAAATATTATAAACATATACTTCCAAGGTTTCATGTAACTATATCGAATGATGGCACAAAATAGCTGGTTTATTACAGGGTTCGAGCTGTCTGATGCAGTATGTTACCAACTTTGTATGAGATCATGCATTGCCACAAGCCAAGGCTCGTATGGCTTTTTCTCCTAGTAATAGAACCAATCTTTGGGGTACGTAGAGGATATGAAATAGCCTGTTTGTTGCAGCCTGGTGCATGCATCTGCATTGAGCAATGGATTTAAAGCAATCTCCTTGCTGTATTCTTGATGCAGATTGGTTCATTCAAAGCATCCCTTTTGGTTCTGTGGCTTTCTTCAGCTAAAGGATGTGCTCTTTCTTAGTTCTTTTCACTGAAGAGTAACTGCTGAGTTAATGAGACTCCCTACCCGCACTTGTATAGCTCGTGCTAGCTATTAGAAGGGATGCATTGTTCTAAGTCATGCCTTCCCACCCACTAGCTCCCATCTCTTTCCCAATGATGCAGCTTGACCTTTCCATTTTGATTTTGATCCAAATATTCTCTAGGTTTGTTGACAGCTTCTATATCCTCTGCTTAAATTTACTAAATCCATCAGAATATTCCTGTCAAAATGAATCTGTAGAGAAGAATGTGTTTATAAGTGCTCACATTATGTGCTGTTTGCACAATAGAAGTAGGTGCTTAACACAGGTAAACCCATGAATAGTTGTTAGTAACTTTACTTTGAAGTCTGTTCAGAGTTCTGGTAGGATTCAGACATAGCGAGCTACTTGCAGTCTAAAAAAAATAAAGGTATTTCAGAAAAAAGGGACATGGATGAGACACCTTGGGAAAAATCCTTAACATGTGCACGTTTGAATCAGTTTTTTGTGCTCAGAAGGCGAAGGCAGCACTCAATGGAGCAGATATCTATGCAGGATGCTGTACACTAAAAATTGAATATGCAAGGGTAATGCATGGACCTTCTCCCTTACCTTTAGTGGCAAAACATGTATACACCATGCTTAACGTTTTTCACTTTTACTTTATTTGAACAGCCCACTCGACTTAATGTCATTAGAAACGACAACGATAGTTGGGACTACACTAAGCCGTATCTGGGCCGACGAGGTAGGTTTTCCTATGTTATTGCTGTAGATGTATGACTGTACTAATGACAATCCTTTATACGTGGTCAGGCCGTATCTCAATAGTCATTTCAAAGCAAGCCAGAGCTGCTGCTGTGTTCACAAGCCAACCTGTAACCCAGGAAATTAACCCTGAGCCCTAGTGCCCCCTACTGCCGTGTGCTTGAGCCACTTAGTTCAACAAGGAGCCCACACCTGCAAGCACCTTCGCAGTTCTCAAGGACTTGCATTTCTCCAAGCAGCTCTCTCTCTTTGGAGGAGAGGAAACCTGATACAGACTATTCCTTACAAACTACAAACTTGCACACTGCTTCTCCTTCGAAAGGACTCTTTTCCCCTATGTTGGACGAGGCATTAAGAAGGATAGAGGACTTCAGCAGGCTGACTCTACACTTCTTCATGCACCACATCGGCATCAGCAAAACCAAAACAAAACACCAAACCCTCTGAAAAACCTCAGACTTGCAATTCACCTTGTCTGCATACTGCATGCACCACTACCACAAGTTTTTAAAAGGAGGACACTTTCAGTACTTCAGATTTGTATGGGATGAATAACACGATAGACTGTACCCATTCTGTTCAAGTTTGTATGTATGCTGGTCATATTTCCCTTAAAGTTAAAACTGAAAAATTGAGACCCTCCAAAATTAAGAACCTCTTTTGTTGATATCATTGACGTTGTAATCTTTTTATTATTTGCTGTATGTGAGAGTTGCCTTCAGTCTTAACGATGTAAATATTGTCTAGTAGTAGAGAAATTTCATCCTGATCTTTAGATAGTTGGAACTGAGTAGTGCAATATCAGATAGATCCCCTCAGTTATATTTAAGTATTAAAACAGGGAGATTCATAATTGATACAGACATACTGTCTCTTCAGTATTCAGCTGTAACAGTCTCCAAAGCTTGACTCCTGTCAGTGGGAAATTATGACTATTTTTGTAAAGACAAACTACTGTGTAGCCTGACTCCTGTACAGTGTTCACTTAAAGCAATAATAATGTGTAATAATTGAGTGCAGTATTCAGTAACTTATGTACAATAATGCGTGCAATGTAAAGTTAGAAAAGCGAAGAGATGTCCAAGTCAGAGTACTTTCCAAAGGCTATATGAGAGCCTGGGCTTTGGCCATCTCAAGTGACATGCACTTTCAAAGTAATTCTGCAAGACACCTGGTTTGTAAAACTGTTGTACAACTAAAAACATAGGGCTTGAATTTTCAGAATGAAGTTCTTGTAAAAAGTTAACAAGGGAGCTACAGTATTGGTTGCAGCTTATAGTTTATGACTATTTTTATGAGGATTTAATTTTTTTCTCAAATTCCTGACTTCAAAAAAGCAACTTCTCGAAGTCAAGAAACTTGAGGGCAAGAAAGAAAAAGGACTGCATATGAAAATTCTGATGGATTAATTTGACCCTCTGATCTTCCAATCATTGCAGTGATTGGAGAGTAACTTGTAACATGCTGCCCCTAATTACATTACTTAATTGGTCTGCAGATATGCATGAATTGTTTCCCAAGCAAAAAACAGTGGAAAATGAAAACATTAAGATAGATACGACTTGCTCTTTCTCAAAAACTCATACTTTACTCTTTTGCTTTTCCTTTTTGGTTACTCTGAGTGCCTATCTCTACATCACTCTACTGCACTTAAAAGGAAAATGATTGGATTTGTACTGTGGAGCAGGAGTTTTCATTTACCACAGTCCACATCCACTTGTCTAGAAAATGGCAATATGAATTTTTGAACGAAGACTGAAAGGAAAGTAGACAGCTAGATTATGTCCAGGAAGTAATCCAGGACTTGTTTTGAGAGAGTTCTGCTGTGTGTGCTTCTATGCGCTCCCACAACAGCGTTTGGCTTTCGAACTTAATCTGACTGAAACTGTAGGGGTCCGACTCCAGCAAAGATTTTAGCCCTGGAGGAATTTCATTTTGAGGACAGACGCTGCTAATAATAAGCCTTTCAGAACTTAATTCCTCCCACTGATCCGAGGACACAGAAACGCATTTAGCTAATTATTTTTTTTGAAGAACTGTTATGTCCGTGGCAACAAATCACTTACTTCCCTTGAGCATTTCTTCAACCAACGCCTACCTGTGTTTTAGCATTCTACTGGCTCTTAGCCAGATAGTTCAAACTAGTTTGGAACATTTCTTTTGGCAGTAATACCGAGTTACTCAGCAACTCAAGGAGCTGATTTAAAAAGCAAAAACAAACACCCCTAGATTATAAAGAATCTTTTTGTTCAGAAGTAATTTTAGCCCAGATCAGTTCTCATTTTCGTTGCCTGTTTGCACAAAATATTTCTTCTGGCACAATTAAGTTAGTTGAAAGAAGGAACAAGTGCTGTGGACAGGAGAGGGTAAAGGACTGTTCACCAGGAGGAAATATTTGTCAAACTATGCTATCCTGGAATTACTTGAAAGCTACTATCTTTCTGTGCACTCTTTCAATTGATTTGACTCCTTAAGATTTTAATGATAAAATTCAGTTTTCTGAAAGATAATTCCTGCATATAGGTTAAATGTTCAAAATATTCTACATGCTTGTGTAATTACTTCCCAGAGCTAAGAGATTCAGAGCTGTTACCTGAAAAAGGAAAGAAAAAAGAAAACCATGCAAAAATAATCATCATTCTATACAATTGAAGGCAGTCAGCACTTTTCTGTCTCTAGTCTTTATTTCCGAAGTAAATGCTTGGCTTGAAACCTGTTCTCAAATTCCTGAGCAGAAACAGCACCTGTTTTCATTTCCCACTGTTGTGCTGTCTATCATGAGTAGTTCTCTTTTGTCAGGGAAATAACCTGTAGCTGCAAAGGGCTGAATTGCCATTTTCAGCAGTCACATTTAAATTTTCTTTGGATCTACACTAAACTGAAAAATATCTTGCCCCATCTTTTCAGTGTAGCAGTGTGAGAACTCATATTATTTTTTCTAAATGTGAGACATCAATTTTTACTTACTGCAATGAAATCTGCAAGTTTAGATTTTTCTTTGCCATGGAAGGTGCAACTGATTAGAAAATACAGTTTTGACTGTACTGCACTGCTTTCTTCCAGTAATGTAGACCCTTTGCTTAACTTTATAACACAGAGAACTTGGCCTTCTTAAAGGATTGACCTTTTGCTAAGTGCATTATTCAGTGATGTTTCTCTTCAGTCAACCTGTTACGAGCTGCTGATAATGCAATTATGTACAATCCTTTCAGCACGCCCTTAAATCAGTAGGTGTTCTGTAAGTTTATATGTACACAAATGTAATGCTCTCTGTTTACTGATTATGAAACCATGTAATACAGGTTGTTGTTGGCTTATGCTGAAACTTCTTGAAAGAAGCCCACTTTGAAAATGTGTTGCTGTTGAAGCTAATATTATGATTCAGGTACTGTCTTTCAAAAGTACTGCATTTCAAATTTGTTTTAAGAGATGCATAGGTAAATCCTGCTGTATGGTGTTTTCTATACTAATGTGTGGTGTCTGTTTAGGAAAGTTGTTGGGTATTTCTTTAGACTTTAAATGTCTACATCTCCTCACTGGCCATTACGGCCAATCAACTTAAGTGGAATTTGTTATACAAATGACAATCTTTAAATTTTGGTATCCCAGGGCTACAGCTTGCGGTTTTAGATATATAACCAATGAGAAATTGTTGATAAAATTAACAAGGACTCAGATTGCATTTTTGCTTCTTAACTAGAAGCTTTGTGTCTTAACTGGCGAAATCAAGTGCATACTTGTCCATACTGAATTGTATTTTTTCCCTTCCCATATGTTAGACAGAGGGAAGGGACGCCAGAGACAAGCTATTCTGGGAGAGCACCCATCGTCGTTTAGACATGATAGTTATGGTAAGTCCAATAGGTTGACAGATGGTTTTGATTTCTGTATGTGCTGTGTGGAATGCCAAATATTCAGTCAATGTATAACTGGACCTCTGAACTGTGAGTAGTTCACTGATCTGTGCACGTGATGCCGTCAGTCCCTGTACAAAAAGTGACAGCGATGGATTGAAATGCGTAGTGCTTTTTTTTTCTTTTGCCATAACTCTTCTTTTTATGGAGAGCATCCAGCTCTGCGAATGTATTCCTTTGAAGAATGCTTTCTTTTAGTTGCTGTCACCATAGCAGTAAACAGAGAATAACGTAATTACTGGCGAAGCTCTTTTCTTACAGAAAATGGCAGCAGAGTTTGATCAATGGTTTGATGCTACCCAGAGCCCTTTGATGTTTTTGCCTGCAAAGCTGTGAATTGTGGGCTTTGTATTTCTTCTAATTTAGCTAATTCTGAAAAGGTACAGCAGTGTGATTTGCTAAGAACGGTATTTTGGAATTAGTGCTGTAAAGTGGTGCTGTTGTTACCAGGGCTAACTGTAGATGAAGGCCTGCCATACTGCCCTTTCCCTCATTATTGTGTTTTACTGTGGGAAAATAAAGCAAAAAGCACGTTTTATACTCTGCGAATTTCACAGTATTCGTTTTCTCAGAGGATCAGGGATCCTATCCTCAGTAATACTGATGTTTTCTGTAAACAAAAATTAATGCCTATCACTAACATCTCTTCATTTATTTAAAAAAAAAAAAAAGAGATGGGGTTTGGAGAGGAATGTGAAGAAGGACAGAGAAAAGAAAGTATTTCAGTGAAACCTGTCACTTTACCTGTAGTGGAAAATAGGACAGCTTTGTTTTGCATTAATGCTGTGCTTTAAGCATTCCTGTTTCTTCCAGAAGTTGCCTGTAGAAAGCCAGTTTCCTGACTTTGTCATATCTCTGCAAAAATAGCTGTATCATCCTCCTTCTCTCCTGACCACTGGCTAAAAATTCACTCCTTTTTTACTTTCCTTACCTTGTAGTAATTTTTTTAGAAAATAAAGAATTTTTATTATTTTTTGCCACAAAGCATGATCAGTAGAAACGACAATATTGCTGAAGGTAATTAGGTATGTTTTAAAACTCCTGCAGTCCTTTTTCCCCCCATTTTAATGAATACAATCTTTCATTTCCATAGGTTCGCATGGTCCTTTGTTGCCATTACCAAGTCGTTACCGAATGGGATCTCGGGACACTCCCGAACTTGTTGCTTATCCGTTGCCCCAGGCATCATCCTCATACATGCATGGTGGAAATCCTTCTGGATCAGTTGTCATGGTTAGTGGGTTGCATCAGCTAAAGATGAACTGTTCAAGGGTCTTCAACCTTTTCTGCTTGTATGGAAACATTGAGAAGGTAAGGCATCATCTGTGAGAAACTCTGAATCTACTGCAGTTGGGTATTTTGTTGTTTTTCAAAACAAGCAAACAAAAATGAACTAAAGTCTAGTTGGGATGGGTGCTCCTGACAACGTTTCAAATTCTTATTTTGGGCTGCTTGTTGCAGTGTCATTTTTTTCTTCATCTATCTTATCTTAGGTGAAATTTATGAAGACTATTCCAGGCACAGCACTGGTTGAAATGGGTGATGAATATGCTGTAGAAAGAGCTGTTACACATCTCAACAATGTCAAGTTATTCGGAAAGAGACTTAACGTGTGGTAAATATGTTCTATATGATTAATAGTCAGCTAGTAAGGAAATGTAATGAAGTTGCAAAGACAGGCTGTCCAGTCTTCTCATCAGTGTTAGATTTATGATTTCCAGTTTACAACTATTATTTTTCACCAAAATATTTTTGTGAATGTGACAGCTGTCAATATCAGTTCAAAATTATAATACCTATATCCTATAACCTAGGCTGTTAGAAAGCTGTATTCACTAAGATGTTTTATCCACCCTTTCTACAGTCTTTTTAGGAAGGTGTCAAATCTAACTTGTCTTGTTCCTCTTTGAAATTGTTCTAAAGAAATGTCAGCTTTTATTTACGTACATGAATAATCTGTGTGAAAAGTTTGCAAGTTTTGATTGTTTAAAAAACTTTCATGACATATCCTTAAATCCCAGTGTTTCTAAGCAGCATTCAGTAGTTCCAAGCCAGATATTTGAGCTGGAGGATGGCACGAGTAGCTATAAGGATTTTGCAATGAGTAAGAATAATCGGTTCACCAGTGCTGGCCAAGCATCTAAGAACATCATCCAACCACCCTCTTGTGTTCTGCATTATTATAATGTTCCCCTGTGTGTAACTGAAGAAACATTTGTGAAGGTAGGCAGTTGACATCACTGTGGCATGTAGTGCTCTGGGGCCTTATCCTAACTGTATAGTACTGTATAGTATGCTACTTTTAAAATGAAATAACTGGGATAGTTTTGGTACAGCAGCTGGAAAATAATTCTTAAAATAGCTTTGGAGCCTCTCTATAGAAGCTGCTGTATTTGTGCTTTTTTTTTTTTTTTTTTTTTTTCATTATTCTCTTTTTTTTTTAATGAGAAACAAGATGTTGGAAGTAAAGTTGAGAATCTTAATGAGGTTTTTGTGGAAGCGGGGAAAAAAACTTAAAGCCAAATACAGGAAAAACTAAGAGTACAGCCAACGAAAGATGTACTGACTTGAGATGGTTATTCTGATGACTGATATGACGTTTTGGAATGGAGAGAAACATGCACATGGGATGTTTTGCATGGTTGGGTACTAAATGAAAACTGGATGCTGAAAAATTCAATAGCAGATACAGAGGCAGTTCGTTTTCAGTTCAGTGAGACTTTATTTTTTTGAATTTGAGCTGAATCTTGAAAGTTAATTCTGGTTTGAGAGTTGTGTGCTTATTTGTGCAGCTTCTGAGATGCTGTGTTGAAGTAGGAATGTCAAGAAGAATAATTTGTTTTTCAAATATGAATTGCTTGAGCAAATGGTGATGTTTGCATTCTAGCAATTATTGTGCCTATAAAATATTTGGGAAAGCACAAATAAAGAGCCTTGTTTTGCAGACTATAGGATGGTATTCTAAAGAGTTCCCCAACATGCTTAAAAATTATTATTTGCTGTAAAATCTTGGAAGCTCTTTTAAAGACTCAGTATTTTCCTTTCTGTGTCTCTTCCAGGAACTTGGGATTTTTGCTAATGTATTTATGTGCATTTTTGCTGAGGTTTTACATCTTATTTTATTTTTGTGACAGCTATGTGAGGATCATGAAGCTCTCAGCTTTATTAAATACAAAGTGTTTGATCCAAAACGTAAGTCACGTTTGACCTATTTGAGGGGTTATCTGAAGTCCAGTTTTTATAAGAGCATGCACTTGCCCAAAGACATTATTGATCTTTCTCCCCTCTTTTGCTTCTTATTTTGAAAGCCTCTGCCAAAACACTCTCTGGCCTGCTGGAATGGGAATGTAAGACAGATGCTGTGGAAGCTCTCACTGTACTTAATCACTACCAGATAAGAGTCCCAAGTAAGTTAGTTTTACTGATCTTACTGCTATCATTTTGTTTCTTGTTTTCTTTCATGTTGATATTGCCTTTGTTTTAAAAAAAAAAGAAAAAAAAGAAGTTTCAGCAGTTTAGTCTGCATCTAAAAATTGCATTCTTTTCATTATAGGTATATATTCTGTATATGTATGAATATATATGCTCATTTATCTTCTGTTGTGTATATAATGATCTGCAGTTTAGGTTCCATTGCATTTTATTTAAATGGCACTCTTTCTTCCTAGCTTTGGAATCAACCTGTAGAGCTCAAAATATGCTCTGCAGCTCTGAAGTTATAGAAAGTTTAAAAAAACAAAACAAAAAACCACTAACAGCAAAAAAAACAACAAAAAAAGCCAACAAACAAAAGAACAACGGTCTAGGATGCAAAAAGGAAGGCAGGAAAGGTATTGCTTACAATCCACTATCATTAAAATCAAATCTAATGTACAGTGTCTTACTGAAGCTTTTGTCATGTTCCTCAGTAAATGCAGAGAAATGCGCAGTGCCCTTGGATAGAAGATTCTTTAGGTTGCACAGCTTACTGCTCTGAATTAACTGCTCTTGTAGTAAGTTCTTTTTCAAACCAGAAATTTTGATGTCAAGGTGATTTGAACACCAAACTAGTAAGGACAGAGATGAAATTCACCTGTTAAACTGTTGCACAGTGGACCAGATCTGTGTTGGACAATTCAGACAGTTTACTGGAGTAAATTGAATTATTCCAAGTATTTACAGACATCTTTGAATCTAGCTCAGTGCCTAACATTATTTTAAGCTACCTTCTTCAATCTATTAAGAATTTGTCTCTGACAATCTTTCCTATCCACTCCACTCTTCACCCACCATCTCAAACAAGAACTTTTGGTTAAGACTTAATGTAATAAGGTTGTCTGAGGTTGGCTGAACCAGGAGGATGCGTCTTCCATCGCCTGAGAATACCCAATTATGTGCTGCTGCCATGAGCAGCCTTTCCATGTAAAGGGGCATTGTTTTTTGCTTGGCTTTCTGGAGAGTCCTGAAGGGGGAGCTGGGCTTCGTGCTTTTCCTTATTCAACGGACATGCATAAACAGTCTCTAGTGTCACACTGCCTCTGATGGAAATACTACATTCTGTATCTCCTTATCCTTATCCTGTATATCCTTAAATATCTATGCATTTTGCTTTGGAAGTTCTGTTGGATACTACTCTTGTAAATAGTTCAGGTGGGAAACAGACAGCAATAACAGTAAAGTCTTTGTTGTGTTCAGAACGCTTTAGAATACTGTCTGCATTCCTTTGTGATCAGATCCATCGCATTGTTTTTCCATCTTTTGCATCTGAAAAATGCTGATAGACTGTAAAGAACACTTCATTACTGGTCATCTGGTATCTGTGGGCCATCAGGGGTATGGGGGGAGCATTTCACCTTCTGAAGTGGTAAACATGTCACATCAAGCAAGATGATTTTCTCGATCAGCAGGAGAGCCATACACATGGCGCATTACTGAGCATGTTCTGTGTTGTCTCCCGACAGATGGCTCTAACCCTTATACCTTGAAGCTTTGCTTCTCTACTTCATCACATTTATAGAGAAGAGGACTGCATGTTAAGAGCTACATTCACCTTGATTTGCAAGTTTGAAACTACACTTCGTTCACAAAGCTCTAAAGTGGTTGCTCTAACGTTGCCTTGTTTCAACTTAATTCTAATATCTTTTATCTTGTTTTATAATAAATGGATGTTCATTCTTAAATACAAAACAGATTTTTCTTTTTGCCTCTCTGAAGTACATGTTGTAAGCTTACTACGAAGTTTGTATTTTGTTGGTGTAGTATCTGCAGATGTCTAAAGAAAATCCAGTAGCGTAAACAAGGCAGTGTACCTTTCAGACTCCAAAATGTCAGTTGTTTTCTTCCAAAATGGAAATATATTTGCATTTTCAATAATGTTAAAGCTTAGCAAGTATTTTTCAGTTGTAGCGGGCAGATAGAACTGTTACATCAGAATTTTAAATGTAGAATCTGTTTTTCAGTATGTTAAGTAGTGAAGTATGTTGCAATTCTAAAAATCTTGTATTTATAAAATGCTTTCATCAGGTTAATGTTGCACATACAGAACTTTTAATAGTATGGACTTACTTGATTTATAGTTTTAAAAAAAAAGCTAACAGAAAATTATTACATATACATATGTATGGTGTGAATTCATGCTTATTTAAAGTGTTGTTTTTAAAAAACAAACAAACCTATTTTCCGTCTGCATTAGCATGATGACATCTATAACCAGTCCCACCATAGGGGCCTTTTTAAAATTAAAATTGCAAGCCTGTATCAATGTGTTCATCCTCATTTTCCATAACTTTAAATCTTTGGTGTTAACATATCTTCTTGATATCTTTTTCAATAGTTATTATGACTTATTAAACTTAGAAAAGTTGGCTAGTTGAGAACAGAAGATTGATCACAATAGAAACCAAGGTGGTGGAAAAAAGTTAAAACAAAAAGCAAGCCCACGGTACTCTTATACCTGGATTGTTAATTTTATGTACACTGGATGCTTATATCAATGTTTTCTTTTGTCTGATATCTCTTATTTCTATTATGATGATGAAAGGATACATGGGGTGAATAGAATGGCTAGCTTCTTACTTGAAGTGTGGTGATGTAGGTAGGGTTCAGGTAATACAACTCTATCATGCGATGTGAAACTAAGGAGATGAGAGATCTTTCACTTTGAGGAAGATTTGTGTTGCACCAGCGCTTTGGAGCCTCTGTTCTCTCTTCTAGAACTGGTGCTTCATTGTATTTGGGCTCAACCCTCAGGGATGGGAATCCAGGGAGGGAGTCTGGGATCTGTTGTTGCAGGCCTCATGTTTGTTCCCCTCTCTGAATTTGCAGCAGTTAGTGCTCTTTTAGTTTTGCTCTTAGTGATCAAAGAGAAATTGTTTCATCACGCTTTCTTTTATCACGCAAGTTCTTCATTCCATCTTTATTGGTTTTATCTGTATCCATACAAGACATATTAATGCGGTGTGCTTGCCCTTGAGAGCACGTTGTGTTATGTTTACAGACTGTGGGCACTGCACGTGCTTTTAAAGACCAACTCGAACTTCCTCATTCTTAATTTGAAGACAAATACACATAATTATACCAGGGAAAATGTGTCAACTGTCCTTTGGCTTTTCTCATCAACTATAATTGATTTTCCTCCTGCCTACCTCCGTTTTATTCATCTTTCAGATAACAAATATTTCATGAATTCAAAGCAGGCTTTTAACACGTTTGAACTGGGAGATGGAGGCTGCTTAGTGCCTCTTTCTGTCTAGAGTATGGAATAATACTGCCTTCCTGTATGGAAGATGGCAAACTGGCTTGCATTTTAGGGGCACTGCTAGCATTCTTTCTGCCTTAGTGTTTCCCCCTCAGAAACAGCGTTTAGTGAGCTCTAGCCTGGAAGGCTGGGTGCCAAGTCCAGCTACTTGCCAACACAACTGCTGGGTACTAGTGAAATGTTCTGTGCTGCATTGTTTTTTAACTGTAAAAGGTCTCTCTGTCATTAATTTATCTTCCATCAGAATGTTCTGCAAATACCAGTTGCTTTTGTCATAAGTTGCATTGCTTTGTTTCAGAATCAAATTGTTTATGTTTGAGCATTGAAAATGGCATGTTATCTGTTGGTCCACTTTGGGATGTAGGAAGTGACCCTAAAAGCATTCAGGTTTCTTTTAAAAAAAGAAAAAAGAAAAAAAAAAAAGAAAAAGAAAAAAAAGCACTTTAATGTTTCCATGTCCTTCATGGATCCCAGCATTCAGTGCCTAAGATGCTCAGGGGAATGGTATTTTTCTCTTGGCTACTCAGATCAGTCAGCAGACATACCAGTTCTGGGTGATATCAGCTGGAAGTCCCTATTTTGCGAAATGAGTAGCCTGTCATATGGGGAAGAAAAGACAAGAGTCTAAGGAACTGCTCAGCATTCTTTCTACGTCAAATAATAATAAACTTCATGTAAAAGTTGAGAACATGAAAAATTCCTTGTTGGTATTTGTTTAAAAAAAAAAAGTCATTTCCGGGCCCTCCAGGGCTGGCTAGTTGTTCTCAGGGAGGAATGAGGTTGGTCTCCTTCCAGAAATAAGGTCTGTATTCACCTATAATTTAGGATAGAGACAAAGCAGTGAAGCAAGTAAAGAGTTTCTCCAACAGGAATGAAGTTTGTAATTCGTCAGCCACCCACTTATCGTATTTGTTAGATCAAAACTAAAGTATTAAGGTCTCTCAATGCAATTTTTCTGTCCCTTTTGCATAAGCCATATATGCAAAATAGTGAACAATGCTATGCATGTTTCCTGCTTGCAAGCAGCTTGCATTCACACTGTAATATATTCACGTCTGTTCCAATGTTTAAAAAAAAAAAAAGTTATATTTTCTAATCAATAACCTTTCATTGGAAGTAAATGATATACTGGGAGATTTGTTCATCTTCTCTCACCATACTCATATTTTTGTTTTAACTTATTTCCCCTTGTAAGGAGGAATTGAAATGAGTTGCTTTTTGATTTTTCTATACCACCACAGCAAGATGGAGTGCTAAGGTGATATAAGAAAAGATTTAAAAGAAAATGTTCAGGAAATGTTTGAGTGTTTTACTTTATGAAAGGAATTATAAAACTTAATGTGTTGTCACTAAGTCTGTCTTTGAGTAAGGGATAGTATGGGGTAAGCTGGCTTGTAACTGGCTGAAACCCTCTGTTGTAATTAAATTTAACTTGCTCCTTTTCCTATTGTGTGTTTTCTTGTAAACAGAGCTTGAACGTGTTTAAATGTTTTGATGACTTAGCAGGAGATGTTCAGTCTCTTCTTTTAAGTAGTTCATTGAAGTCTGAGAGTATGAATGCACTTTCTCAATTTATTTTTCTCCTCCTGGAATGTGTTTAAGTATCTTCTGGGTTTTCTTACCTTCTTTTGAAAATACGTTATGTTCTTACATGTAGAAACTTCAGTATTTTTGGACAATCCAGCTTTGTATGTCTACCCAATCTCTTGGTTTATTCTCTTTTGGCAATTACAGAGGTGAAATTACAAATAATCTTGTTTGCATTGGTATGGCTTTGGCCAGAAATAGCATGCAAGAAGGCATACAGAAATAAAATCTGTTATGGGCTCCACTTTATGTGAAGAATTCTTAAAGCAGGAAATATCATTCTGATTTTTAACTTTAACCTAGATGCAGCTGTGCTGAAGTTCAGAGCCTTGCCCTCCACGGATCTGGAATTTCAAAGGTAACTTAGTCCTGCTTTAAAATTTGGCTTGCAGTAATTTCATTTAGCAGTTTGCATATTTCATGCTGTGAACAAGCCCTGGCGTACTGTCATAGAAGAGCTGATATTGCCCTCTGAATATGTGGCTTAATACAAAAATCTGTCAGCCTTGAAAAAACAAATCTTCTTGATTTGGGTCCCCTGGTGGCAGTGGTCTCAAAGGAAGAAAAATATTTTCACTGATGCTCCACAGAGTGCTTCAGGTGTGTGTTGGTTCACTGCCAGTACTTCTGTAGGTTGTGTTTTTCCATGACCCGTAAGTAAGACCTCACTGAGTGAGAAATATATGTTTTGTGACCTGGTTTGTTATGAAATTCAGGAGTGAGCAACAGACATACCTAAGCAAGGGAGAATCACTGCTGTGAGACCTCTGGAAGGGAGGCTCAAGCAGATGAGGGGTGAGCTCAGTTCACTAGACCTCCATTTCTCTCTGTCTGGTTGAGTGCTCCTCAGGAATGAGAGGTGGGTGTTAAACTGCTGCCAGATGAAGTGGTCTGATGTGCAGGTTCTCACCTAAAGGCCATCCTGTGTTAGAAGGGAGGTGATTGCCACTTTCTTTGCTTATTATAGCCCGTGCTGTTTTTGCTTCAAGTTGTTAAGAGTACATATTTAAAATCAATCTGGCTTCTTCCCAGCCCACCTCTGCTTCTGTAAGGAATTACCTGGAATGTGAAAAATGTTAATATTACTCACAAAGCAAGTCTAAACTGAGAAATACTTATCATTATTCTTCATTTATAAAACAAAGGATTTGCTGTTTCTTTACTCATTTCACTCTGTGTATTAAGTCCATATAAAACTGGGTCTTGTTCTCAGCTGCGCCATTAAAACGAACTTCTGGACAGGGTGATGGGTTGTGTTCACATGGCAAGGTGCTATTTCTGGTGTGCTGTCCAGGTACTTTGCTAAAGCCGGTGCAGGGCAAAGTCTGAGTCGAAACAAAAAGCTGTTCAGGGCTAGGGACGAAGGCCCAAACTTCTTCAGCTAAAGCATCTAATTTGTAAAGAGCTTCCATTTCTAGGCAGTTGTGTGATTGAGTTAAAAGCATGCAATATTTGTGTTCCATTAAGTCTCTTAATGCATAATGTGCTTTCCCTGTTAAAAATAAAAAGGTTTCTTTCTCCATGGACTGTGATTCCCACAGGATGTGGAGGAACTTAGCATAGCCAGATTACTTGTGCTTTGGCTCCATTCCTCTAAAGGAAATAACTTCAGTCCCTTTTCTTGTGTTCAGAATGCCTTGGTATCTGTCCTGTGCCAAGCCTTCCTGTGCTGTTCTTTCACAGCCAGCTCTCTGGGCTAGAGCCATGCATTAATTCAGATAGGTTCGCTTCTCTTCCTTTTTTGACTGTTGCAGCTGCTGATGTGAGATCTTAATTTATTTTTCCTTCTCTGGTATTTGTAGAGCAGCTGCAACTTCAGTGGACCTTCATGCAAGGGAATGAGTGCTGTAGGAATGCAACAAGGAGCCAGCAGATAAGTGGTACATTAAAAAGCAAGACAATTAACCCTCTTTTCCAAGCGTTCAGGAATATAGATTGGTTTTGGCAGGGGCCACATAGCAGTATTCAGAATATAACATAGGTTGTATTCTGGGGTATGGTTGAGGATAGCAGTTGCTGCAGAATACAGGATGTAATTATTCAATTACATGTAAGGCATTACCTGTTTGTTTTCTCTTGCCACCATTTCCTCTCTCCATTAGAAGATTCATCCTTCTTTAACCTAGTAAGAAAATTAAATTGCAAATATTTGTGTTCCACTCAAATTGGGTAGTAGTCAAGCCCCTAGAAATTGGAGCGCTTGCTTGATAAAACTCTTCTCTCTTTGGGACTAATTTTATTTCACTTAGGCTCTTAATGCAGCAGGCTTTGGATATTTCAGGAAGCACATTTGTGTTAGTTGATTATTTCCCTCTGCATGGGAACTTCTGGCCTTCTAAAATTTAAGACACCGATGTTGGGATTTGCATGTAATATAGATTATGCTTATATCTTTTCTTCTGTTAACCACAGCGACGAAACTGCTAATTCCAGATTAAATCACTGAGCTCTAGATAAGCATCCTATTCGAAGAATGCAGGAAAGTGTCTGAGAAACCAACCTGAGTAATCTTTTCTTGAAGGTACTGGGTAGATTATGTTGCCAGGTTTCAGACAGAAAACCCTAGTTTGAAGTGGGAGTCATATTCACTTCACTTACCTGTTTTGTTAGTGAGAGAAGGAAATGATGGTGTTAATTTAAAAGCAAATTCTTAAGTTCTTAAACCAGAATATTTTATGAGGGCTGCTCTGAAAGGAATGCCTCCTATTTTATGCAGTTGGCCCGTATTCAGAGGTGGATTGGTGGCATGGCATTTGAGAATGGAACCTTCCCAACAATATCCTGTGGCATTTTCTTGATATGCAACAAGTGGCAGCAAAAGGACAGTCTGACAGAATGTGTGTGTGTGTGTGTGTGAAACAAAAGCATGGAACTGAATTTCTTCATACAAAAAAATAAATAAAGAAATAAAATTGTGCTGACGTTCATCAATGCTTGCTGAACATTTATGGAGATTGGATAATGGATGTGAGCACAGGGAGGCGGTGGGTGGTGATTTCAGCAGTGGTGACAGTGACATGAAGGACAAGTCATGCTTCAGATGGCCATGCAGATTTTAACAAGTGCAGCATGCAGGATCTTATTGATCACTGGTGAAAATGCGTAGCTAATGGTGGTGACTGTGTTGGAAAATAGTTCTTGTAGCAGAGAATTTGCCCTATAAAATCGTGTTGTTACTGCACTCTATCTGATGTATTTTCCAAGGAAATAAATAGGAGGCGTAACTTTTGGAGCAACCTGTGTAAGTTATACTTATTTTCATTTTTTCTGATAGCTCTGTAGAGGTTTATAATCTGTCTGTTTTTGAAGAAAGATATCCTTGTGCCTCTAACTCTTGCTTTTTGTGTATTCCTAACATGAAGCAAGCTCACATAGAGCTCACAATGGAATTTCAGGTTAGGACCGTACTGTTGATATTATTTCAATGTATTTCACAATAATACACTCTCTAGTCTTGCTTTTATCAGCTATAGCTTTTATCTGATAATAATGAAAACGTACCCTAACACCTACAGGACAAGTTTCTTTCCATGAAGACAGACAAGGTGATGGTACATCCACATGTCTTTTGTGATATGGACACCCAGTTAAGTGTGACTCCATGGCTTTTCTAGCATAGGCTATAATATATCATTTCTTTTCCATCTGTCTGTGTCATTACCTCTCACATCTGCATCCCTGCTGACAACGTCATTGCAAAAACAACAACAAGAAACAAACAGTTCTCCCTTTTAATCTCCTGAAGCTTTGTAGCAAAGATCATTCATCTGCCTTTGTTTTCTACACATTCTGAAACTTCTTAGGAAACTGAGCAAGGATATTCAGAGATGTAGGGTCAGCAAAAAACTAATCTTATCCTTTTAAGCTGGCAGAGAATGAGCAGCAGCACCGGTCCCATGACTGCCAGCACAACCTCCATTTCTTACTGCTGAAAACAGACTCTGCTTTTCAGGAACTGTCCCATGTGGACCTTTCCAGTGAGGACCCTGCTAAGAGTAAGCCTCTTTTAACACTGAGCAGAGTGGAGTTCAGGAACCCTGATAGCATCTGGTCATTTCTGGTATGCATATGGGATCTGGCTTTATATTCTAAGCAGACAGTTGCTTCTTGCTTGTAGCATGCAGCCATTGCAGCAGCTTTGGCCTGAGACTTACCACCCGTAAGCTACTCACAGCTAACCAGTATTTGAGAGGAGCTAGTCTTTAAACTGCTTTAGAAGCAGTTGGTTCTCAAGCAAAGCTGCTCTTAAGCCATTTTGCAAGCACTTGGGCTACTTCTTTCACTGTCCTCTTCAGGAGCTGTTGTTTCCCATCTCCCCAGTGACTACCTGTACCCCCTGGTTCCTATTAAAGACCATGAAAATCAGTGTTTCCAGCAGTGTCAACCTCTTCCATTTAAGTTGTGTGTAAGATTTGTGCTGAGGATTTGTGCTGGAAGGCTTGCTTCTGAGTCAAGGCAAGTGCAGTAAAACCCTGACAACAATTTCCCAGAGCTCCTTGTGTCACCAGCAGCTCAGAAACTTGTCCACAGCTGTCTTTGCAGCTCTGTGAGGAGTCTGTTTAGCCACTTGCAAAACATGCTGCCAATAACCCTGAGCCAGATTTGGGGCTGGGGCTATGCAACACCAAGACGAAGCTGATAAGCAGCATGTTTGCCTTGTGTCTTTTCCAAGTACAAGCAAGTTTCACTGCTGAGGTCTAAAGAAAGGGCAAGTGGGGAGGCTGATACTGCATTCACCTAGGAGATACTGCTCTTATCTGCCCTATTAGCAGGGAGTTGGCTAAGAGAAACACCAAACACACCTCTGGCTCTGGTTGTGCCAGTAATGTGAGTGCACAATGCCCACAAATGTCAG